AGCCAGGTCTTTACATTTTAAAAACCTATCTGTACAGTGACTACCAAAAAAAAATTACTTTGAGCATATTAGAAACTGGAAGACAAAGCTACCTCACATGCCAGCCAAATTATCTCTGCCAAATTGAATTTAATCCAAACAACCTACTTATGATTTCCTAATATCTAAAAAACTTAAAACCAATCCAATCACATGCTTTACATTTCTATCTCCTTTTTTGTGCTAGTTTTTGACCAATGGGAGTAATTATTTTGACCTTTCTGTTAGGAACCATTAATTTCTCATGATTACATAATTCATGTAAAATGAAACTACAACTACAGTTTATATTTTTAAAAGATAAAAGTTTAAACCCCATATTTATTTACTTAAAAATAAAAACTGTATTTAGCCTTTGTCTCAGAACCAAGATATCATATTAATTCAAATGTCTATTTTCTCCTAGAAAACCAGCATGTAAGTCAAATAATCGAAAACAATATCTTGAAGTGTTAGCCAACAAATAATAGATCATAAAATAATGGAATTATAGAATATTCAAAATTACAAGTTTATAATAAAACATTACATTGTTGTTTGAACTGATGAATATCTATAAATCATGTAATTTAATACCATGCATTTTATATTAAAATAATTGATCAACAGTTCTCCCTAACTAATCCTTAGCTTTACATTCTCAGTACAATAATGATGAACTACTGCTGAATCTCTTCATGATTTCCTACAACTAAGTTATTATCAGAATGGACATATCTGCTGCCTGAAGCTAATTTCTGTAAGCTTATGGTGTTAAAGTCAAGTCAGTATTTAATCACAGGCCCAGTATAGTTCAGGACCCATAGATACATATCCTGCCACACATTTGTACACACACATAGAGGTACCAAAAAGGAACCTCCCAGTTATTTGGGACTTCAAGAGTGCATATAAATATGACAAAGGCCAGTCTAGGCCCATCTACTAAAGCACTTAGATTTAGATCTTACCAGTGGTTATACTTAGTTCATCAAGGCCCATTGCAATATCTTTATGACTTCCCATCCTTTATTATTTTTGTCCTGGTGCTTCAAAATTCTCCACAGAGGATTTGTTTGGAGGTTTTCTTCTTGTTCTTTTGCATGCTGGAGGATATCATGATAGAATTTGTCTTTTAATATTATATTGCCACTCTAACTTTTTTCATAAGACATGTCCGTGGTGATTTAAATCATTTTTCATGTAAAAATTACCACAGATAATTTGATTCAGCTAACTTTCACCCAACATATTTCTATTGCCTGTTAAGTCACTAACAATGTTGATTCTTCTGAGATGATGGTACTTAGACATAGAGGATTCCAGGGTGAATATTGACTTTAAAGGAATGGATTCGTGGAGCAGCAAGCAACTTTGGATCATTGATCATAGAGATACAATCCAATTGAATTCATTCTGAGCACTTATTAAGTGACTGTTACTTGTAAGAACTGCCCCAAAGTCCTCCTCTGATGCTTTCTTGTGTAATATAGAAAGTTCTGGGGTCTCAAAAACTATTTGAAGGGACCTCAAACTCCTCAAACCACACCAGAAAGATTTCATATGTGGTCCTAGCATTAGACAATTCATTCAATAAACAACTATTAAGCAAAAAAGGAGCTCACACTCTAATAGGAAAGACAACATGTTACCAACTATGTATCATAGTAGGTGTTTAACAAATGCTTATTGACTTGACATTATCCTGAATACAAAAGGGACATCTTGAGCAAGAGAGTAACATGGTCAGGCTTGTGCTTTAGAAAAACCAATTTGGCAGTTTTATGTAGGATGATTCTACACATACACATTAAAAGTAGCCTTAATTGAGACATTAGAAGGCAAACAGGCAGGCTTTCACAAATGCTATGCTACAGTGGACCACATCTTTATAATCACTTAATTGACTGAAAGGTATAGTGAATGCAAGACCCACCATGCTAATTTTTTAATAGAAAAAAAAGAAAGAGTATGATTTGATAGAACAGAATGTTACCTGAAAGACTCATTCCATATGTAAAGTTGTCCTCTTCATATGTCAAAATCATTCAAGATTTGTTCAAGATGTAAGGAAAGAGAAAACTTTATTTACTCACTCTCTGATTCAATAAATATGAAATGAGGCATAAACCATGAAGTTGTAAGTCTATCAAAGTCATATGATTACTAAAGTATATAGGCTGTCCAAAGCAGAGAGTAAATTGAATAGTGATTCCTTTTCTATGAATGAGGAAACTGAGGCTTTGAAATGAAGTGATTTAGCCAAGGTCATACCACTAAAAAGTATCAAAGATGGAATTTGAACCCATATCTTCCTGACTCCTAGTCCACTACTCTTTCCATTATACCACAGATACTGCCCCTTTTCAGAAGTATGACATGGGGAAATATAAATCTGTTTTAGCCTTGAGACTGTCATAAACTGTATAGGCAGAGCCGTTGGAGGTTTATTTTATATGATTTATGAAAGACTATGGGGAGGTTCTCCTGTCCCCAAACATCTCACTTATTTATCTACTATTGTGTCTGAAATTCTACCATTAGAGATTTAAATTCTTGCCCTCTGAAAGAACTTTCTTTCTTTAAAGTGCAAGTATTCCCAAGAGCTATTTTTGTCAGAGATTTTTTTTTTAATTTTGGTCCATGATGGACCCAATATACCTGATTGGGGATGGGGTTTGAGGTTGGAAGCTAATGGCACACTGCTCATGAAAGGATACTGTGCTGGGTTGGGGAGGGGACATTTCCGGTGGGAGACAACTATCCACTTCTTCTTGTCATTCCTTGCCTTCATAGATTTTTGCTGATTTTGTACTGCTGCTCAGCCTCGGTTTTACAACTCCTGCCTGTTGCCATTAATCTTTTTGTCCCAGTGAAGTCTTTGGCTAGGCTTTGCCTTGAGATTCTTTTTACCCTTTTGAACCATGGCTTGGACCATACCTTTTCCCCACTCAAAGAAGGATTGTTCCCCTTAAGGCCTATTAATTGCTTCTCATCACCAGCAGGGCTGGAACCTGACATTATTGTCAGTTAGTTTACCAGATTGCTTTCCACACTATGAGCCGATCACTAATGGAATCCATTCATTCATTCAACAAGCATTTATTGAGTGCTTATCATATGCAAAGTGCTGTCCTTGCCCCTCAAAAGGAGACAGTGATGTATAACCTACAATGCTCAAGATCCCCTACAATATAGTTGAGGGACTGGGAGGGTGGGGTGGAGTAAAGAGGAAGCAATAATTTTAGTGTGTGAGTGTCTCCTGGGAAGCATAGATTAGATATCTAGAGACACTGCCTGGAGGAGCTCCAGGGACTCAGTTGTTAGCTTGAGGACAATGGGTAACTAAGGTGAGGTAACATCATGATGTGGGGATATGGTAAAGAAAGAAGAGATGAGAAGAACTCTGAAGGTTAACTTGCTCTTTTTCCCATAATTTAATTTAAGCACTAACCACACCCAGAGAACAATCGTGTATGCCAGAGAAATAATGCTACCTCTGAATCTGCTAGGAAAAAACAGCCTAACGCCAAGCATGCCCCAAGTTTCCCACATCACAGACAACATATACTATCTTGTGACATGGCAGCTGCCATTGTAGTCCATAGTCATGGCTACTCTCTTCATTTTCTGGTTAAATACTAATAATCTCAGAGAGATTCAGGTAGGCTGCTTGCTATCATAATCTCAGTCCCAGGAGCAGTTTCTATAATCCCCTATTCACAATTAGTGCAATGTACCTTATTCTAAATCACATTATTATAGTTATGCTAAAGTATGTAAATTCAGCAAGCCATGGAAAAAATCCTGACCTGGTTCTATGGGAGAGTACTGCTGGTACGGTAAACCCTTCTCCAAGACACAGACGTGTGCGTTTAGTTTATGTGTAACTCTGAAAATAAGTTTGTACACAAGACAAGCATGTCTGCTGTGCCATGATTTGTAAAAACAAACAAAAAAAACCAACAAAACACCAGCAGCAGCAGCAACATCAACAACACACACACACACACAACCCTTGAAATTTATGGGATGTTATACAATTTACAGCCTTGTGTGGAGATTGTAAAACAATACATCTCCCATACTCTTAGCTATCATAAAAAAATGAAGATAGGAAATTGGAGGGAAAGGGGAGGGAGAGGTCTTTTATGTCATCTGTGAGATCATTTTGTTTCATTCTGTGTTGTCCAATCAGGCAAATGAAGAAGGTTGCTCCATAATGAAAGAATTAATGGTTTTCCCTGTCTGGTTAGAATTATTCCATTGCCATGATTGCATTGTACATATCCAAGAATAGTAGAAAGATGCTTCAAGTTCCTGCTTTCTAGCACACTAACAGCTATTCACAAAGGAAGTAGAGTTTAGGGTAGTGATGCTAATGAACACTGGTCAGGCAGCCTGGAACTTCTGTAGAACCAGTGCAAGTCATCAAAATATGATCGATTTGAAATGACTTCCTTTGAAAATATTGAGGACTTCGATTTAGGACTGAATTCTTTGAAGGCAACATAATGCTGATTTCCTCACTCTCTGCTGCTGACAAAGTTAACTGCAAAAGAAAGCTTTCCTGATAGCAAAGAACAGGCAAGATTGCTGAAGAAGAGAAGAAGGTGTGTGTGTGTCGTGTGAGTGTGTGTGTGTGTGTGTGTGTGTGTTGAAGGGAGGGGGGATACTTGAAAAAAACAACAACCTAGCCTTCTAATCCCCACCCACCAGTCTCTGTGAAAGATGACTTCAGTCTCTTTCTTAACTAATTCTGTCACTGTAAAATCCTACAGTCATTCTTCCACACATAAAGGAAAATAAGCTCACTAGGTGGACCTAGATGCTTTCAGTTTTAACTATTAACCAATGATGAAAAAGGCAGAATGCCTAAGTTATGTCTTTGTGGCCAATAGGGTAGCTGTATGTGTCCCACATGACTCCCTTCCCCTGTCTTTCACATGGGCTGTAATTTAGTTCAATTCAGAACTGCAGATAGTACAGCTTTCACAGAAGCAATGGGATGTCTGAACACAAGTGGCTGACTTGGGAGTGACTTTATGAAGCACTTTTTTGCCTTCCTTAGGCAGGAAAAAATTGGAATTCTGCACCTGCATCAGAAAAGGACCAGACTAATTCTGCCACCCAGTAGCAAGAAACTCACACAGCTAGCTGGTCTGAAATTGTAAGTATGATTTTTTTTTTCATAAAGTGCCCTGATTTAAATAGTTTATATGCCATATGCATGAAGTATATGAGACTTTTTAAAAACCTCTACCTGTGATTGTGGATATTAATGAGAATGCAAATTACTAGAAAAATCATTTCTGGACAGATGTTGTCTGTTTCGGTCTAATAAAGATAAAAGAACAAAAAATAAAAGTCAGTCATCCCTTAGGGTAGCTACATGAGGGCTTCACCGCAGAACATAGCTATGTGCCGCTTTGTTCAGAAGGAAAACCGAAGGCAGACACATATGTATTTTGTTCTTTTCTATTTGGTCTCTGTGTCTAATCAGATTTGATCTGTCCCCAAGAAAAATAAAAGACAAACTTTGCTGACTCCTCTGACAAGGGCACTGTAGACTTTCCAGACATCTGACAGTTATTATAATTAGCAATGAAAGACAGCTAAGGCACTTGGGGGCAAATAGCTCTTAAATTTTGAACAATGGATCCAAGCCAGGGCTGGCTTTCTATTTATTTTTTTTTAACTGCCCTCTCCATTTTAGTATTTATAGTTGTGGAAGGATTTCAGAGCTTATTTTTAAAATAAGAAATAAAACCCAAACAGTTCTACAGGAGTCTGAAATTGGTCAGCGTAATGGCAGACTGGAGAGACAGCTTTAATGTCTCAGATTCCAGCCTTCCATGTATAAAGAATTCCCCCCCCCAAAAAAATTCCTAATAGGGTGGAGTGAGGAGGGAGAGCTTCTTCACAGCAGATTGCCAGACGGAAAAATAATTTTGGGTTTCTCTTTCATCTTTACTGGCTAGCAAAAAAAGATATGATTAGCATCTAAGTTGCTTTCCATGTAAGATTTATGGACTTCAAATAGAATTTTTAAAAAAAAAAGCACTTGGTTTTATCCTTAGAAAAGAAAATCTAACCAAATGGGTAAAAGATGTTCACTTATCGCTTCTTCCCTTCTTCACTTAGATAATCTAACATATCAGGTCATTCTGCCTTTACTTCTAGAATCATCGAAATCTTTTAAAAGTTGCATGCTAAAAGTCTCCTAGGGGTGGTAGTGGAGGGAGGTGGGGGGTGAAATCAAATCTGTTTTTCATGGATGTATCAGGGCTTGCTCAGTAACAAAGCATGGGAAGAAAAGAAGAGTTTGTAAGGAAAATGTTATTTGGGTAATTTTTTTTTAAAAAGAATATTAACTAATAAAGGAAATTATTGAAGGGTTCCAGACATTCTTAATTATGGCTTAAATAAATCTGCTCCAGTAGAGGCTTGTGTGTTCTAATTGGGGAGAGGAGGGAGGCACTGAGACTTTAGGATTAATTTTAAAGAAGGACTTTGACGTGAATTTTCACACAATCTTTTAAAAATACACCATTTAATTTTCTTTGTCTACCCTCATGTTATCTACACCTCCCCCCACCACCGCCCACTGTGAGCTGAGACACCTGAAGGCTAGACATAATGATCAACAGAGCTCTAGCCTGTCTGGAGTCCAGCCAGGTTTTTTTTTTTTTTTTCCTCCCCTCTCTACAATCAAGGAGCCTGCACGCAGCAATGCATGCCAAGCCTATTCCACTGCTATGTGCAGATCAGGGATGGGAGTCTTACACACACTGCGGAAAGATTAAAGACAACAATATCCCCTTTCTCTTACCCTGGGCAGCCTCGATTTTAACCCTTTCATCGCCCCTCCAAACATATGCCTTTTCCATCGTACCCCAGGTCTCCAGAGACCCAGCAACTCATGCAGCGATATCGTATACCCCCGCCTGACTCATTTGGTTTAGAAACCAATTCCCTAATGCCATTCCACATCTGGATTGTTTAGTATTATCAATACATTGCTTCACAAGGAATCATTAGCCTATAAAAGCACAGTAAGGGTGGTTGGAATGAACTCTGCAGTAGGAAACCTGCAAAAAGTCCGAGGTTAATGGGGAGACTTCCAAATCTTGCAGAAGATTACAGCATAGCTGATGATGCCATTCACAAAGGCATGAAGATCTCTCTCTTCCCCCCCTCCCCTCCCAACTTCTATTTTTTCCCTCTCTTTCCTCTATCTTCCCACACTCCATTTCTCTACCATCCCTCTCTCCCTCTTCTCTTCCTTTCTCCCCTCCCTCAGATACTCATGCAGTTACATCAGAGAGGTGTCCAGATTTTCAGGTGATGTCATCACTCCCCCAAATTTTGTCTTCGTAGAAAGCATTTCCAAGCACTGATGTCCATCAGTTGGGTGTGTGCCCATAAGAAGTTCAGGTATTTGTGGGGTTAAACTATACACAGAGGCAAAGCGTATTAGAATCTTGGCCATCTCTTGAAGATGTGTCCATATGTCATTATGGTCATGTTTATCACAATAAGATAGTCAGGCAGCTTCCCTGGTTCTAGAGTGCTTTGTTAATGTAACGGTTGAGTGTTCATTTCCACTCCAGAGGGAACTGAACTGCAGTGACATAAATAGGAAGAGAAGATTTAAAAAACAATTTTCAGATTTTCTGAAATAAGAGATATCAAATACAGTGAAATTTATTGATTTGATTTTGCTTTTTCTTGCTATGTAAAATTGTGAAATACTCTAAAATGTACCTTGCTAAGATCCATTTCCATAGAGGGAGAAGAATGTTACGTGAAATGAGTTGTAAAGAATGATGATTTCATATGTTTTACTATCTGCATATATCCTGATTGGATAGTGGGTGGATTACATTTTTTGTGGGCTGGTAAATTTCCTGTATTTATCTTCTAGCATTTTTAAGGATCTTCTAACTTACAGATGCCATTTGCATTCTTGTATCTTTTGCTAATACATTTTAAAAAAGTGTAACACAATATTATTTTCCTAAAAGTACACTGAATTTTATTAATACATTACAATATACATGCAAACATGCTCATAGAAATACTATGTGTAAATACCAGAAAATAATTACTAAGTATTTATTATATATTTATGTATATATTTGATTTGATTTCTAAATGTTAGAATGTTATCTCATCATTTTATGTTGCATATCTATTGCAGAGAACCATATATTTAATAGGACTTTCAAAGTATTTGTAAACAGTGTTTTAATATATTAAAGAGATCAACTTTATCAAATTAATGTGATCTTTAAAATTAAAACAAACATGGTTTTTCCCTTTAATATTGCTTCTGTTGCGAAAACTTATTCCCTAAGATACAACTTTATCAGTGGACACATTTTGAACTTAGGCACAGAACAGGTCACACAAGTTGGGTGACATTCTATGTGGGAAGATTCTGAACTAATATGTAACTTTTTGGACAAGCGCTTAGGCCTCAATTTGTAATCCCTCCATGGGCAGTTCTTCTAGGAAAGCCTCAAAGTTCTGCCTGTGAGAGCTGCAGAACTCATTTAGCTTATTAAAGAAAGAAATATGGATAAACAGTAGGACTGAACTTTCAGCTTCTTTGTGACAACAGCGCACAGAGCCACCCAGTAGGGGGACAGGTTACTAAAAGGCATCTTTCAAAGAAATGAAGATAATGGCCTTGATTGAAATAGTCAGGCTATGTAACTCCAGTTCAAGAACAAATAGTTTTTTCAGTGCATTACTAAGAAAGAACAATTTATAAGAGTACAGTTTGCTCTTACACAATGCTAATGTTTCACATGAAATGGCAGACTACACATCATTGAATGGATAAATGCACCAATGTATATGTGACATCGGGGATATATAAAAATGCATATGTTTTCATTAGAATGCATTTTTCATTGTCCATTATTTTCTGCATCTTCCTTAAAGCAAAACTTCTATCCTGTAAAAATATGCAGAAGCTATGCAGGTGATTTTTTTTTAAACAAAGAATTTTATTTATTTATTTTTTTGGTATGTGATAGAATAACCAGACTTTAAGATGGGTTTTACAGTTTGAATTTCCATGTAGGTCAGCTGAACAAAAGTTGGATAGAAAAATCAACTTATATTTAGCAGAGAAGCGCATCTAAATAGGTAGCTAAAGAAATATTGTGATCATTGTGTATTTACTGTGCATCATGCCTCATCTAAAAATATTTTTAATCATAAAGAGCGACCTCTGGCTCTAATTATTGCACTCATTTAAAAAATTGAAATATCCCTGAATCCAAGTTTTCTTCTCTCCCCCTCATCCCAAATACTCTCACCATGTGGTTCCTAAAAAGTAATTTCGCATTTATAGTTTCTTCCTAAAAGTAGAGTTTTATTTTTCCCCCTTAGTCTACTCCTTTGAACTATAAACAATGTTGCATTGTGTGTAGAATACATGGGAACATCAAGAAAGTAAAGAAACTTTTTTTTTCCCTAACATTTTCCTCTTTAGGTATAAATGCAGATTTTTATGAAGTGGAAACAGTTCAAAATTCTTCTTTGCACAACTTTTCAGCAGATCGGTTGCTCTGTTGATATGTCCATGGAGCAAAAGTGCTCTGAGAATGATTGAAAGCTTTAGGGCCAGAACCTCAGTGAAGCTCAGGGAGGCACTGGGGTCAGATGGGCTCATGCATCACAGATAGGAAATGGACTGTGCCATGCATTTTTCTAGATTTTTCTTTAAGCACACATTTGGGCTATTTACTACAAACAGATTTGGGGTTCATTTTTCAGTATGATTTTTCCAAACATCAAGACTCCCAGCAAATGTAAATGAATTTCTGCATGGTATAGCTAGACCAGATGGCCACGTGCTCCTTTCTTATTTAGATGAGACTTTTCCTTTCAATAACATCTTTCTTCCTGACCTGCTTAAAAATTCCAGCGAATGAAATCAGCACAGGATTTTCAATTCTAATTGACCATGTGCAGAGGAAGGGCCAGTAGAGAAATCAGTAGGGCCATTGTGAAGTTGCCTGCATCAATCTTGCCTTTGTGTTTTGCCCTTAGTAGCCAGAGCCAAAATAATTAAGAATATTTAATTTATATTAGTTTTGCTATGACTACAAAACTAGCTAATTCCCAATGTAAATCACTTGAGTCACAGCTTCT